AGCGCCGGGAGCGGCTCCGGTGACCCGGCGCTCTCGCCGCGTGTCGCGGGCGGCCTGTGTGACCGTGGGCAGGTCGCTGCCTCCAGCAGGGAGGCCGGGCCGGGATGCCGGAGGCTGTGGGGCCGCTAGATCCAAGCTGGCATCGCCTGGATGCGGCGCGAGGGGCCGGGCTGCCCGGGGGGGCATGTGGAGAGGCCATCCAGCCTGCGCCGCTCCAGCGTTCGTTACCGTGGTTTGCTGCTTTGGCACCTCCTAATTAAATGTAAATATGCAGTTGGGATTTAGGCTTTAGAGCTGGGAGCTGAGCCCATCAGCCAGTCAGCCATGCTGGGATTTAAAATCTGCATGTGCGCAGCCCAGCCAGCCCTGCCCTGCCCTGCCCGCCGCGGGATTCGGGATGGCCGAGCCGGGATCCGGGCTGGAAAGCGCCCCGGCTGCCTCGTGCTCCCCGCTGCCTCGCTGGGGAAGGCAGATCTGTTTGCAGATCCGCTCTCGCTGGCCTGGGCACGAGGAGCGACGCGGGGGCCTTCTCCAAAAAGTGTCAGGGCATTTTCCCTGATTTCTGCTCACCTGGGGCCTCCGGTGCATTTCAGGAGCGCTCTTGGGGCTCTCATCCCCGGTCACACCGGGGTCGGGAGCTGTGTGTAGCTTTGAGTCCTTCGCAGGTTGGAGCAGGGTGAGATTAGCCCAATTTGGACCAGGTCTTTAAATAGCTTCATGTTTGCCATGGGGGCTGGCACGGCAGCACGGGGATTTCGGTTGGAAAGGGATTTGGAGAGGGACGTTTGGGTAAACATCGTCCGTGCTGGAACGTGTTAGGAGGATCTGGAGGTGAAATGACAGCGGGATTAGCGGTACCCAGGGCTGAAGCCACAGCCTGGGCTTTGCCCTGGGTTGCTGCTCACCCATGGCTGCCCTCAGCCCACCCAGCACCCCGGCGTTGGGACAGGCTGGAGGACAGTGACAGGGTCACCAAAAACCCACGCGTGGCTCCCAGCCGTGTCCCCTGGAACGGGTGCACTTGGTCCTGGTGCCACAGGCTGTGGCCGGGCCTCCCATCCCTGTGCGAGCGCCACAGAGGCGGTGGGATTGTTCCGAATCATTCGGAGAGAACAAAATGGGAAACATCATTCCGCTCGGAATAAATCCCTGCTACGCACAAAGCTCTGTGCAGTGCCGGCCACCCGCTCAAAACTGGTAGAGAAGAAGCGAGGGGAGGTGCAGAGAAGGGCAACAAGGAACGATCAAAGGGTTGGAACAGCTTCTGTACAATGAGAGATTAAATAGATTTAGATCCTTTAGCTGGAAAAGAGACGAATGAAGGGGGATATGATAGAGGGATATAGAATTATGAATGATGCAGAGAGGTTGAATAGGCGATGATTATTCACTCTTTCTTGTAGCAGGAGAACTAGGGGCACACGTTTACATTATTAGGAGCAGGTTTAAAATAAACAGAAGAAAGTACCTTTTCCTGTGCAGCACATAATTAAAATCTGGAACTCATTACCGCAGGAAGCGGTGGAGACCAAGAGTGTCAATGGGTTCAAAAAGGGATTAGACGTGTTCGCACAGGATGGGCTCAGACACGCAGGACGGAGCAGCCCGGGCCTGCGGGATCCGCGCTGGGCTGCCTCTTCCGTGTGTCCCTGTCCCTCCCGAGGCCCTTTTGCAAGGGGTGGGTTGGTTGGGTCGTTCCGGCGGCTGCTGTTTGGAGCGTGTCGCGTTGCCGGCACCAAGCTCCCGGCTTTGGAGCGGGATATCCCGCGCGGCCCGTCCTAACCGCGGGGCTGTTTCTCTTCGCAGTGGCCCTGCAGATGCCCGAAGGCCTCCTCATGTTCGCCTGCACCATCGCGGACATCATCGAGCGGTAAGAGGGCGGCCGGCGGCCTCGCTGCCCTTCCTGCTTCTCCGTGCGGGCTGGGGAGGGTGTTGGGGCCTTCTCTGGGCTCCGTTGCTGCAGGGGTCGGAGCGTCATTGCCCGTCTGCCTGGCCCTGTCCGAGACGCTTTGTCCCCAACCTGTCACTGGGAAGGATCACCCCGCTCAGCAGGGGCTTCCCCAGGCCGTGGGATGGGGAGTGGGGCCATGGGATGGGACAGCTCTCCTGGAGGCTGGCAGATACTCCAGGTGCCTCGCTGCATCCCAGACCTACCAACCAGGGAGCGCTGCTCCTTTCAGCTTGTGCCTTGTCCTTGCGCTGTCCCCTCCGGGTGCCTGTGTTGAGCTGACGCCCACGCTGCAGGGAACGTTGTGTGCGAGGCCCCGGCGTGGGCTTTGCTCGGCACCAGCATCCCGGCTCCTGGCTGTGTCCACGGGGATGGCCGTGGAG